TCTTCTTCCTGGAGGTGCTTTGGAGGCTTTTGGCTAATCCAGGTGGCCTCTTTGTTTCATTTTCCGGGGTTATGAAGGATAGAAGTGGGTGGAGTCATCGGGGAAGTTGTTCCATGAAGAGCAATGCCAGGTGATAGTTAAAGATCCTCCAGATCACTGCATCAAGTCCATTCTCTTTCCACTACAAAGCAGTCCTAATATTTGAAATTGCTACAGAGAAACTCTGGAAAGCAGGATATTAATGATTATTCAACAGTAGAAAGTTAGTAGTTCCCCAATCCATTAGTGCATCTCTGGGTCAGCTTCCTCTAATGTGCTGCTTGATCAACTAAAACTAAACCTGTTACAAGATTTATCTCTTTTCATACTAATTAAAAAGTGGCTGAGCTCAACCTGCACCACAGTAAGAGGATAACATCTCAAACAAGCTGGGATCATAAGAATGACTTTGATTCACAGCTCCTTCACACAGTCCATCACATCCTTGTGAGGTGTATCCCATCATTTGCCATCTCATTAGAGTCTCAGTGATGCATTTGGCCTTTTTTACCAGTTTTCACACAGGAAAGACAGTGTTTTCACACAGTTAGGAAGTGTTTGGATTTTAGACTTCTCTTTCCACTAGTAGTATTTATTTTAATCTTAGTTTCTAGAATTTGAAGCTTAAAAGAAATGAGGGAAATGAGGGTTTTATTGCAATTAAACGCTATGTTCAAATAAAACTGTATTGTAACTGTTTGATAATGTCTTAGTGAGTTGAGTGTTAAATAACAGCTAGCTTGTGTAGCTTAAGAACTGCTGCACTTGGGCTCCCTGATCATGGAATGCCTGCTTATGCCCAAGGGCTCTGGAATAAAGTTGGCACGTTGAGATAAGACTACTCTGACACGGGCTGGTTTCACGTGGTTTCACATGTATCCGGTGGATTACAATTCTTCAGGACTCACAAGACCTGTTTTGCTCACTTTGAGAGAAGTTTTCCTGATTTATTGTGTCAGCTGTGGCAAATGTGAAAGGGATTGGATGTTTTCTAGTGATGTAAAGCTCCTGTTCCTCTCTCAGCTCTGCCAGGAAGGCAGCAGGGGTGGGCAGTGCACTGGCAATATGGGTCTGTGCTCTGACTGCATTTAGCAGCAACTGAGCCCCAAAACTGGGAGGTGCTGCAGGATTGCAGTATTCACCTGTGTGCTGCTCAGCACCAGCCAGTTCTGCTGGGCCTGTGCCTGGGATGTGGGGAAGAGAGGAATCCTGGCATTCCCAGGGATATGGGGTGGACACCTGCCCTGGGAGGGAAGTCTCTCAGAGCTGTATCTTCCTCCCCCACGGAATGGGATCTGGGGGAGGAGGGAGGCTTGGGAGCTCAGTCCCCCCTGGGCGCAGCCCCTGAGCTCTGGAATGCTGCTGGGAGGTTTGGCTGGACTGTAAGAATGGGGAATTATGCCCCTCCTAAATGAAACTTTTGCTTAAGAAGTCATTGCTCTCTTTCTGTTTTTTCTTTTTGTTTTGTTTTTAGTGGTCTATCTTGTAATATTCCATATTCTCTTTGTGCTCTTTGTGTGGACATATTGGAAGTCTGTTTTCACTCTCCCAGTGCAGCCAGACAAAAAGGTAAGAGCCCCAGCACATTCCATTCCTTGCAGAGCAAAAGCAGGGGCACTAAAGAGAACTCAAAAATCCTTTGGTCAAGTTGATCTGGACAGGACAGTCAGATGCAGACGTGTTTTAATGCTTTTTCCACCAAGTATTTACTTTGTCATGTTGCTTGGATTGGTAGATTATTTTTTTGTTTTGTTTTACCTCTCTGTGAAATACTAAGACAACACTATGTTTGGAGCAACAGAGTGAGGACAATGTTTGTGTGGCACTCCAAATATACATGGCCTTAATCTGATCCTGATTACAAGAATGTAAATGTATAAATAACAACTAATCCCAGTTTTAGAAATATAAAACTGTGATTGGGGGCAGGTTTTTGCTCACAAAGGAAGTGCTTAAAGTGTTATCAAGGTGTGTAATGTTATTCCTGAAAAATAGTCATCTAAGGCAGCCGTAGGAGCAATTTGAGTAAGTTGTTTTATAATCTTTAAATTTCACATTTGCATTTTTTATTGGTGTATCACATGGGGTTCTGGCTGCCCAGCACTCACTATCTTCTTTGTCTTGTTCACAAACACATTTTCACACTCGATTAACCTCGTGAGTGGGAGTGGGAGGTAAAAATGTTTCTAGACTTGCCTGTATTTGAAGCATTCTCTCTCCTCCCCCTGGGTAACTGCTCCTCTCATGACTTCTGCCCCCAGTTCCACATGTCCTACGCTGACCAGGAGCGCTATGAGAACGAGGAGAGGCCGGAGGTGCAGAGGCAGATCCTCGCCGAGATCGCCAGGAAGCTGCCGGTGTACACGAGGACAGGGAATGGAGGTGAGCCCAGCAGGGAGCTCGGGGCTCTGAGCTCAACAGGCACAGCCAAGTAGCACACACTGGCACTCCAGAGGGTCCTGCCAACCAACAGCATTCCTAGTGCCACTGCAGCACCCATTAATTCCTGTGGGAATGATTTTCATGCCTTTTTTCTCAAGTTTTCTCTTTGGAAAAGCAAAAAAGCCTTGAACATTCCTTCATTCCATAGAGGACCAGGTGCTGCCTTTGAGAAGCAATATGCTACCCTTTGGATCTATGTTCAAAAGCCCATGTTGCCTGTGTTTAGTATGAGCAGTAGAATCACAAGATCTGTCATCATATTTACTTAAAATGGAGTCTGGCTTAGAGACGCAGAACATAATTCTGTGACCAGATTTCTTGGCCATGCTCAGTGATTAAATGCCTCTGGACTCCTTTTGCAGCTTAAAGAAGTCTGTGTTCATATTGGAGGCTCTGACCTGCTCGTTTCTGCCAGGCTAGCCAAAGAATTCTGAAGTAAAGAACTGGAATAAATAGGGAATTACCAAAATGGAATGTATGTACAGTCTGAGTAAATGTGGAAGCCAGAAGGAAGTGTGCAGTTTTGGGTTATCACTTTTAAGCTGGCTGTATGGTTTAGAGTAGGTTTAGATTAGAAGTTGGGGAGAAATTCCCCCCTGTGAGGGTGGGGAGGCCCTGGCACAGGTTGCCCAGAGAAGCTGGGCAACCAGCCCTGGGAGTGTCCAAGGCCAGGTTGGACAGGGCTTGGAGCAATCTGGGCTAGTGGAAGGTGTCCCTGCCCATGACAGGGGAGTGGAATGAGATGATCTCTAAGGTCCTTCCAAGTCAAACCATTCTGTGATTTCAGTGAGGATTGCTCCCCCCATCTGCAGGTCTCCAGCAGAATCAGGAGCATTGCTAATCCTGGCAGCAAAAACCAGCAGCAAGTGTACTCATCTGCTGAAGTGATAGAGGAAGGAGTATGAACAGTTAGGAAATGAACACATGTGAAAAAAAAGAAGACTCTTCCATCATTTGGTGTTAATTTGTCTTTAATCTCAGGTATTCGGTTCTGTGACAGATGCCAGCTGATCAAACCTGATCGTTGTCACCACTGCTCCGTCTGTGCCATGTAAGTCAGGGACTGTGTCTGAGGTGAACAGTCTCCAGGGGGTCCTGTGGGTGGGCTGGGCCTTCCCATGGCTCTTAACACAGAAAGGGACCCAGGGGCCTCTGTTCCAACTGCAGCCACCAGTGCTCCAGTGAGAAACCATCGGCATGGCTCTCCTCTAGACAAGAACAAAGGACATTAGTTGACCTTGAAGAAGTAATAAGAGTTTCATCTTAAAACAATACTACCTTAAAAAACTTAGACAGTATCATTTTGACTTTCTGTCATGTAGAAATCTCGCAAAAACCAGAGGTTTTGCTGTTGATCTGCAGTTGGCAATTAAGTACCAATTAAAAATTTTCCATTTTTCTTTTTTGTCCTTTTGCAGGTGTGTGCTAAAAATGGATCATCACTGTCCATGGTATGTCCTAGATACTGGTTTGTGGCTTTCTAAGAAAGGTTGCTTATATATATATTTCTGGCACATATTTCTGTATGCCTCTCTCATTTCAGGCCATCCATCTCCTTATGTTGGGAAATTTATAAGATAATTACACTTCAAAATTGCCTGAAATGTTTGATATTTTGAAAGACAGATCATTCATGTTTGTTCCATAAACTATATGTGAAAAAGCTGTGATATTGATATCATTTAAAACCCAACTGCTAATTTACTCTGACTATTATTCAAATTTGAAAGAGACTTAACCTTAGCCTTTATTCTGGGGTCTGTCATCATTTCAGCTGCACTTGGGGGTGCTTTCAATTGTAACATTTGCATGTGGATCATTTCTGAACTGATGCCTGTTCAGAGGCCATCAGTGCAGAAAGCTGCATGGATTAATTGAGCTTTACCCTTTTGGAGAATTGCTGCCACTCAATTTATTAAACTCCTCCTTTTTTTTTAAAAAAAAAAAAGGAAGATTTCAGAAATCAGAAACAACACAAACATTTCCCCACCTGAACCTCCCTGGTAATGAAAATTGTAGAGGATTTTCCAAACCTGAGCTCTGAGACAAACCCCCACTATGTTTTCCTGCATCCTCTGGTTCCTTTGTAGAGTTGTCCTGTGCATGGAGAATTAGAACCAAATTTGGGCTTAGCTGGGTTGGGTGTCACCAGCAGCAGCGGTGAATGTGGCTGCTGAGGTTTGCCCTTGGATAAAGGAGCCCAGAACTCCCAGAGCCCGTTGCCTTTGCAGACAAGACCCAGCCAGGAGGAATTAGCTGCTGCCTCTGGGACACATTTGCCCGCGGTACCAACCCCAAAACATGAGCTGTGCTTGTCCTTGGCCCAGCAAGAAGCCTTGGAGTGAAAAGCAGAGGCTTGAGTTCTGTTCCATTTTGGCCGCTAAGGGGAGCTGCTTCTGCCAAATTCTCTTGTGTGAGCCAGAGGTTTAATAACCCCCCAAACTGGTCGTGCTCTTTGTGTGACAACCGTGTGCTGCACAAATCCTGATTTCAACTTTGCTTTTGTCCTCTAGGGTGAATAACTGCATTGGATTTTCTAACTACAAATTCTTTCTACTGTTCTTAGCCTATTCTTTGTTGTATTGCTTGTATATTGCTGCAACAGTCTTCAAGTATTTCATTAAGTATTGGACAGTAAGTTGTGAAATCTGGTTCCTTTTTCATCTCCTGTGAGTCTCGTGGGGTTTAGTCACTCTTGCTGCTGTTTTGCTCTCAGTCAAGTGGAGGGGCTGCATTTTTCCTGTGAGGTGCTTTCCTGGGCCCTTTTTGAGTCCAAAACTCCCATTATATGTCCAAAATGCACAAAAGCAAGAAGCAAATAGACCTCAGGAATTCCAAACTGTAGACTAGCTTCTGGGCAAGAGGTTATACCCTTTTCCTTTTTGTTTTGCATATGTGTCTCTCAGAACGTTTGGAATTGATATTGATATGTAACATCCTGACATTTATCTGTATATATATATTCTGAAAAGAGAAAAAAAAAGTCAACCCCCCTTGTTCATTTTCTAATCCCCATAGGATTCCTTTCTCAGTTTAAAACTGGACTGAACTGAAGTAGCCTTTTTATTCAGTTGTTGCTGGTCACTCCTATGCAGCAGTGCCAGCTGACAGCTCAGTGAGAGGCTGGCCCTTGGCCTCTAGTTTGTGTCCCCTCAGCTGCTGACTCTGTGTTCAAGCCCCCTAGCTTTGCTGGGCATTAATTGTTCCTCAGGCTCAGCAGGGCCCAGCCTGAGCTCTGTGCTGCTCCCATGGGATGAGCAAAGGCTGGGAAGTGCCTTTGTTCCCTGCAGGTGCCCAGAGCCTGCCTGTGTGTGCTGCTGGGCACCTCTGGCACTTGGCTCCTCTGCTCTAGAAGGAAATGGGTGTCTCCACCTCTTGTAAGGTCCCACTTGGTTTTTAAGCTTTCCCAAGCCCTCTCTGCTCAGTTCTAACACCCCCCATAGCTGCAGCTGTGCAGGCCAGGTTCTCTTGGCTTGCCTCACCCTGCAAGAGGTGCAGAATTTTAGTGTATGCACAGGAAACTCAGCAGAACATAGAGGGCTTCAAGAGCTCCTGCCTGCTCGTTTCCCCGTGGGCACAGGGTGTGCTCCTGGTGCCCAGGTGGGAAGGGTGATTGCCCTGCCTCTGCTGCACACCAAGAGTAGTGCTTTGGGTACAGGAGGGGAAATGAACCACCTCATTTCTTTGTCTCTCCTTGGTTTTTATACTAAGGTTGATTTTTGTCTATACGAGTTTGAGTAGTTTTAGAAGCTCTCTTTCTTCTCTCTAAGAATGAAGAATTTCCAGCTTTAATTTGTTCCTATCACTTGTTCTGTGTTGCTTTTCTTTCCAGGGTGAACTGACCAATGGACGTTCCAAATTTCACATCCTTTTCCTTCTCTTCGTGGCAATCATGTTCTTTGTGAGCCTCATGTTTCTGTTTGGATACCACTGCTGGCTCGTTAGCAGAAACAGATCCACCTTAGGTAAAGCTCTTGTGTCCCTCTTCTTTTTGTAAGACACACCAAAGTACTGTGAGAACCAAAAAAGAAAATAAAAAAGGCATTTGTTCTATTTCTGTGCATTCCTGCTGGCTTATGAGGGAAGGAAGATTTAAGATCTTGGCACAATGCTGCAAAAATTTGTCATTTGAAATTAGTTGTGTTTGTTAGCTGGTGTGACAAAAGAACACAGGGAAAGAAAAAGCACAAGGGGAAACAAGAGTCTTACAGTGTAAAAGTCCAGTAATAAAAATATTATGCATATGTATAACCATGTTTGAAATGAGTGCAGCTTTTCAGGAGTAATAGTTTGTTGTGTTCAGATGCTGGTGTGCATCCTAAACCAGCTTAGTGAAGTTGGGAAACAGTGTCCATTCTCATTGATAAAGGCAAAGAAGTTATGACTGTAAAACCAAAGAAATTATCTAGAACAGAATGATTTTGCCGAGTAGTTTCTTTGTCTTTCCTCAGATAAATGTTGCTCAATTTTTAAAGCTTTTTGGATAAAGTTTTATAACAAAAAAGACACTATCAAGAGTGAGCAAATATTCTGGTTTTGTCTAACTTTAACTTTGTTTTAACTTTAAAACTCATTTCTTGGGGCACAGAGGCTCATCTGTCCCAAAGCATCAGACCTGTGCAGCAGCTTCGAAGGTAGATCAAATTGTTTCTAAGGCACTCCAGGTTCTCCTCCCCTCTCTTTTTTTAGTTTTGTGCCTCACCATAACAGAGGGTCTATTTGCATTGGTTTATTCATTATATGATTAATGAATGAGGCAATTTAAATCTCCAGTGCCACTTCTGGAATACTCATTGAAGGCCAACCTGTTTAATTCTGCAGATTTTTTTACTTAGAAATTTTCACCCACTGAATTTCTACAAGTCTCACAGAAAGAACTTTTAACTCTTGTTCTCTAGATTAAACAAACCATTTTTGGTTTGACTGTCCTGTAGTTGTATGACCAAATTCCTGGCTTTGATTGGAAAGTCTTTACAGGCTTTGCAAAATGAGAATAAGCTTTCACTCATTCTCGAACTTTGTAGTGCTGAATCTATATAATCTATTAAATCATGTTGACTTTGGATGGCCACGTCATGCACAATCCTGTTTCAGAGACTTTGGCATTGATTTTCATTTTTTTTCACTGAAATTGCATCTTGTGCAGAGGCTTTCTCAGCTCCGGTGTTTCAAAATGGCCCAGATAAAAATGGATTCAATCTTGGCTTTGTAAAGAATCTTCAGCAAGTGTTTGGAGAAGAAAAAAAGCTCTGGTTGCTGCCTATTGCCTCAAGGTAAGTAATAATCAAGTCAGTGCTAAAAGCTGATACGATTTTTGCCATTTTGTGTATAGGTTTAGGTCACAGGAAAGTGGGGGTTTTATGTGTCTTTCAGTAACGTCTGACTAAGATTGAGGCCATTTTATCTTGGGTGTCATTGAAACACAAATGTGTGATTTCTGCCCTGAAGAATCTGTGCTGTCAATTGATAAAATTTACACCTATGGAATAATTGCTCTGTTTCCATAATTGTTTTCCTTAGTTCCCCCCTCACTTCTACCTGTTAATTTTTTCTGTTTGTTTTGGGTTTTTTTCTGTATCCAATTGATTTGATCAAGTTAGCACATTGAAGTTCTGCTAAAAATTACTTAATTCCAGGCTTTAGATTTGAACTTTTGTTCCCCAGTGAGCTTGAAGGAATTGAGACCAAAACTGCTCTCTAGTAAAACTTGGCATCTGAGCTGCCATGAAAAATAAACACAGTGCTTTTCAAAGCTGAAATATGATTTTAAGTAAACATGGGAAATAGAAGCAGCAGAAAACTTTGTTTGCAGATAAAATGTGTTGAAATTGTCATCCTTTGGAGCTGTTTTTCCAGTGTCTCTCTGCCTTTTCCATGCAGCCAGGGGGATGGACATTTTTTCCCCATGAGAGCCTCGTGTGAAGCTCGGAACCCTCTCCTGGCAAATGAAGAGCAGTGGGAAGAGGATGGAATAGATGAAGAGCCCCAGGGTAAGGTAACACTGTAGGAAATCAGTTGTGTCCTGACCTACAGTGCCCAATAGATAAATTCAAAGTGATCAAATAAAAGTGGTGTTGGCTGAGTCCCTGGGCAGCTCTGCCTTGACTAATGAGCACAGACTGAAAATAAGCCCTACTTTGGAGTCAACTTTTTTGTTTTCTAGTAGCTTTCTACTTGCAAGTGAATGGACTGAGAGGGTGGTACAAGTTGCAGAGAGAAACTGAGATTGCCACAAACTGAGTGTTTTTACCTGTAAATGTTGTTGCATGCAGTGCAATTATCTAGGACACAAAAAAGGAGAATACTAAGATGTTTTAGAAGTGCAGTTATGTTCTGAGAGTGTGAAAGCAGGCATGCAAACACCTGAGTGCAGGGATACATTTAAGAAGCTCCTTTATACTTTGTCCAGCTTTATTACAAGAGTAAAGCAGTTCTTTTGATGCTGGGTTTGATGTGCTGATCTCCATAGAAAAATAGATGTGCTGGGAGCAGGTCTAGGTGAGCTGCTGTGTTTGTGCAGTCGATTTGATGGGTTTCTGGCATTCAAAGATACCTTTTATGCTATGGAAATCCTATTATAAACCAGAATTTATATCTATATACATTCTTTGATGGTCTTTGTTGGATGGATCCAAAATCAGTTTAATGATTTTACATTTCTGTGTTTGAAGTTGATTTTTTCCCCCTTGGATGTTTACCTGCAAGCTTTGGTCTTTGGAGAGTACAGGATGTATTGGAAGCTCAGGATTTGTCATTAGTTTCTGCTAACGAGCCCCAGTCCCCTTGTTTGAGGGTTCAGAAATCCTGTCTGCAAGGGCTCCTGGTTTTTCCTGTGGAGCAAGGATGCCATTCACAGGTTCCTTTTAAAATAAAGGTGGTAACCCCACCCTTTTTTCCCTTTAAGGAATGGTGATAGTGTGAATTAAGTCTGAGGTTATTTATAATCTGTGGATCAAACATCAGGGACGTGATTTCCATAGTTGTGCTCTTTGTTGCCTCAGAAGAGTTTTCAGGAACTTTGCTGATAAAGTTCTCTTTCAGGGTGTACATTTTAGTCCCACATGCACAGGATTTCTGTTTGAGACCCTTTGAGGAAGACTTAGCCTTGGGCAAAGGGTAAAAAAGCTTTTCATGTGAACATTTTCCTACCCGTGCTGTGCCATGAGCTCTTTAATCCTCCAGCACAGGCTCTGCTGCTCAGGCTCTGCTCAGATCTCACCTGCAGCTCTTTGTTCAGGTTTTCCATTGCAAAATAAACTGACTTCATGTCCTGCTGGGAAAATCCACTCTCCAGGAGTTTGTCAATAGGACTGAAGAGGCTCATTTCAGCTTTTCTTCAGATGAACTGCTTTAATTGGTTCCTGTCTGTGTGTTAGAAAACTACAAAACTGGTTTGCTCTATACATTTTGGCAGTTACAAGGTAACACAAATTGGTTTTAAAAATACCAGAATTGGCTTTAATAGTAACAAACTATGGCATCTCTGTGAATTTTTTGTGAGGCTTAAAACAAGTCCTTTAGGAATGAGTCAGAACTTCTTCCAACTTTTACAAAGTATAACTTATCTGAATAAATAATTAATTCTTACATATGAAAACATTTGACAGTGAGATGATTTTTGGCTAGATCAGACCCCAGAATATGATCAGGAGCTTATATGAAGTTCCTCAATTTATAGTGCTTATAAAATAACTGACATTTACAGGCAGTTGAATTAGATGATCGTTATGGGTCCCTTCCAGCTGAAATATTCATGTTCCCTCTTAAACAATAGAAGTAAACCATTATAATTGAGTAGTCAGAAAGACCTGAAATGTTACATTAAAACTGAAAGATCTTCATTTGTCTTTGTGGCTTTAAAGCTTGTGACATGGTTATGAAATAAATAAAGCCAATAATAAAGCAATCTCAGTTTGAAAGCAGCTGTTCAGTTACCTCTGACAAGTGGTTGTCTATTTTCATTTGGAATGACTCTTAAAAACACACTTCCATACTTAGTGAAAAATATATTCTCAGCGAGAAAACCAGGTTTACTTACCTCTGACTGCTTTGTTTTTCACTGTACAGGTTCTGGTGAAGCCTCAGCCCTTGTCATAGAAAGGGAGACATAGCAGTGTGACAGTGCAGCCGGGTAAAGCTCGAGCACAAAGGTCAGTGTTCCTTCCTTTCCCCCAAATCCACACTCTGCAGGGAAATGGGGCTGTTGGACAGGGTTTGGCTTTAGCAGTGCCATCCCCATGGTGCTTGGACAGTCCCTGAACACTGGGGATGGAGCTGTGATTTCACCAGTATTCCCCAGCTTGCCCAGAAATCCCTGGTTCAAGGGAACCTGAAGGGCAGGGGTGGCTCTCAGCAGCCCTGGCTGGGGTCGGCCCAGGTAACACCAGAGCCACCAGCACAGTGTGTGGAGGAGGACACAGAGCCTGTAGCTGCTCTGGAAAATGTGGCAGGAACGACTCTTGCACTGACTTGTACAATTCCAAGGTGGGAAGTCTGTGCAGGGATTCATGGAAGGAGTAGGAAGGTGCAGGTGCAGTCTAATGGAAGTTGAGAGCAGCCAAGTCGCAGTTGGGAGAAAACGGAAGTGGCCTGGAATGTCACATCAGCTGCTGCTCCCTGAGCTATTTTTTTCCACCCTGGAGAAAGGTGGGTACAACAACAGATGACACTGTGGGGAAGATGCTGCTCCCAAAACATTCCCTGGTCTGTAAAGCTGTTCTGCCTTTGAGAATGGGGCACACACGCAGGGAGCTGCAGGCTCTGTCCTCTGCAGGCTCCAGGAGATATTCTCCCAGAGGAGTGTAACAGGCCAAGATCCAAGGAGTAGGAATCTGCTGTCCCACTTGCAGAAGGTGGGACAGGCAGATGGAATTTACCCCTCTGTTTTCCAGGGGTGTTAATAACTACTGTATGGCAAAGCACTGCCTGGCTGTGCTCACAGATGGGGTACCTCCAGACTTTTGCCCATGGGCTTCTGGCATTTTGTGGATACTAGTCCATTTTCTTCCACTTACAGAAACTCAAAAGTGTTTTTTCTGTCAATAGTGAGGACTGAATTCTGCCCTTCTACTGGGGAGGGAAAACCAGCATTTTCCTTGTTGTTCTTCACGGCTTTAAAACACTCAGTTTTAAAGTCCAGATCAGCCATTGATGCTCATCACAGCAGTGTTATAGGTGCACATTTTTGTTTCCTTAGATTTCAGCTTCCCTCTCAGGAGCCAACACCTTCTCTTGGCATGGACTTCAATTTTGAGGGGCAGAAAACAAGTGGATCTTCAAGATGAGAAAACGTCCTGAAGTATCACCCAACTGGAGTCTGCATCTGAGAGTGCTTCTCCAGAAATCCTGCTGTCCAGATGGCCCAAGACTTTATAAGTTTCAGTTACAGAGTTAACAGAACAGTTTTATAGAGTGATTGTGGCCAATCTTCTTTGGCCTGCTCTCTTTATTTTATAAATACTATATATTTTTTATGCAAAAAAGGTAAAAATGTTGATGAGAGTGCACTTCCAAAGGCCTTTTCATTTTGCAAATGTCAGGGACTCGAGTTCTTGAAATTCTACCAAGCCATAATATTCTTGGGGATGGTTATTTATTTTGAGGCTGATTCTCCAACCTTCTCTGACATTTTCTACTGTGTTTGAAGTTCTGAGTCAGTTCAGCCCAGTGCGAGACAGACCGAGTTAAATCTGGCACTAAATTGGTAGTTGGGTGTGTGTTGAAAGAAAAAGTGCTGAACATGCACACTGACATGTGCAGCTGTGAATGCAAATAAAATATTCCCATTGCCAGTATCAAGATTCAAGAATATTGTGGCCATAGATTTTTTTAACTTTTTTTAGGAGGGTGTTATTGTCTTAGAGTTTGGTTACAGTGTTCTTTGCCCAGTCCTACTCGCAGGCACCTAAAATGCAAACAGGAACGTCAGACAGTCCAGTTTGCATTAATTCCTAGGGCCAAAATGTCCACTCATTCCTGGATCGGTGTTTGATGGAAATTTGTGTGTTTGTGGAATCAGAAAGGAAGGTGTGAATTTGAAACACAGGAGTTGGAAATGACAGTGAAAGTTTAGCTCCAACAGTGGTGTTTGGAGTTTACACTCCACACGAAATGCTGAAGAGACAATTGATATATAGATTTTTTCAGACTTCTTCCCAAACCAGTGCACTGACTGGTGGTTCCAGGGGTTTCAGCACTAGGTGATCAGATTTTTTTTTTTACATTTTGCTCCATTTGCAGGCAAAGGGATATATCCTGGTTCTGTTCTGGGGAAGGGAACTGACCCTTTGGCCGGATTATACACATTTTTCTAGACTTGACTCTTTTTTTATCTGCATGATTCAGCCCTGGCAGCTCCATCACTCATGTCTGAATTAGGTGCATGCTTACAGTATTAGTGTACTGCCTTTAAGGTCATTTGGTACCATTTTCTCTCCCGGTTTTGTGTTTGTTTATCAGCCCATTGGCACTGAGGTGACTGCAGAGGCAGTTGTGCCTGTCAGGAGAAATGACCTGAGAAGTGAGTTTGGTGACAAAGGCTTTGCCTACCTACTAAATCCTTTTTTTTTTCCTCTGTTTGCTCTGCTGCTGCTGCCAGTGGGAAGGTGTCTGTGAGATGGGAGAGCCTTGCAGAGACTTTGTGCCCTTAGGAGCAGTCGTTTCCCTGCTGTGATCCCGCCCTGGGGACAGGGATCCTCAGCTCTGCAGTTCTGTGCAGAGCAGGCAGGCATCTCTGGAGTGTCTTGCTGCTGAATTGGGTTGTGAGGGGTCAGGGTGGGCTCACCTAGGCTCGGGGTGGTTTGTCTGTGTCCTCACAGTGCTCTTGAACACTCAAAATGTTCCTGCTTCAGCCACCGGAGCCCTGGCCGTGGGGTGGCTGTCACAAAACGGCTCTCCAGTGTTTCTCCTGCCCATCTAAACCTGCATTTCTAATGTAAATCTCGAGTTGGACCTTCCCCTGCATGTGATGAAAGATGGCAGCAGAATTAATCACCTCATTTCTGGTAAAACGTGCTCTGGAGGGGGAGTTTGAGAGGACAGTGGCAGCTAAACACAACAGGAAATGTGCAGGAATTAAGCACCAACAGAGGTGCTATTTGTGCCTTCAAAAACTCAACATTCCTTGTGTAGAAAACCAGGAAGAAGATCTGGGGACTTTCTGTTCCATTCTGTCAGCTGAAGTGTATTTTTCAGAGCTGTGTGGATTTACAGGAGTTTTCTGAGCAGGTTCCTGTGTCCTTCCTGGGTTTGGTTCTGGTTACAGCTGTGTCTTTGAGCTGTTTCTCTGCCAGGCAGCAGCAGCAGCAGAGCTGCCCACGAGCTCTGCAGGCACCATCCCTGCCTGCTCCTGCTGCAGCACTGCTCACTTGGCAGTACAAAAAATCAGGTTTCATTTTCTAATAATTATTAAACCAGATGTCTTTAAAAGGCAGCTACCAAGCTGAGATTTAGAAGCAATTTTAAACATTTCCAAGTAACTTTTATTCAATTTTTTTTCTTGTAAATAGTTATGGCCAATTCTTCCCTTTCCTTAAAAGCAGCTCAGCCCCCTGTGGTTGTAAAAAATCTCTTGCTCAGGTAGAAAAAATACAGTTTAATCACTTCAGAACCACTCCCCATCAATATCCACGTCAGGTGTTGGAAAGCTTCAGGAGATGGGAAACAAACACAAAAGCTGTGTAAAAATGAGGCAAAACAAACCAAGGGAGACCCACATGTCTGAGTGACTGAACAAGCTCCATTTTGTTCCCTTCTCCTCACTGAAGGTGATATCCTTGTGTTACCCTGGCATTTGTCCTGTTTGTGCACTGGCAAACAGCAGTTGCTCAGCTGCTGTGGTCACTGCTGCGGGTGCTCAGAGGGAAGGTGCTTGGCCCAGTGCAGGGCAGGTTTTTTAACCTGCAAATGGCTCTTTAAGGGATACACCTACTGCAACACCTCCTTTGTTTCCCATCCCCGATCCTCATCCAGGGGATCTCCACCAGCAGCCCTGACTGTGAGGGATCCTCATCCAGGGGATCTCCACCAGCAGCCCTGACTGTGAGGGATCCTCATCCAGAGGTTCTCCACCATCAGCCCTGACTGTGAGGGATCCTCATCCAGAGGTTCTCCACCATCAGCCCTGACTGTGAGGGATCCTCATCCAGGGGATCTCCACCAGCAGCCCTGACTGTGAGGGATCCTCATCCAGAGGCTCTCCACCAGCAGCCCTGACTGTGAGGGCGGCATCATCAAACCTGTCCCTTACCTGCCCCACCAGCCCCTCCTGAGCAGCTGCTCCCTCCATCCCAGCACTGCAGGGATGGGACTCAGCCCACCCACTCCCACTGTGGCTCTGGGAGCTGCCCAACACTTCCAGTGCATCCTGGCTGTTCCTCCTGCTGCTGTGCTGGGGCACAACTGTTCCAGGTCTGCTCTGTGTGCCCGGGAGCAGCCTGTGTTCCCCTGGGACCAGCACCTTGGGATGTTACTGTTGGTCTCTGGTCAGGTGCTGTAAATCCAGTTGCACCAAACAATTTGGTGAAGTGGAAAGGTTTGAATCTCAGTTCTGATGCTGTTGGAAGTTGTGAGACTGTCGTGCTCAGTGCTGAACTGCAGCCTGGAGCAGTGTGGAGGCAGGAAGGCTGTTTTCTCTGCCTTAGTGGCAGACATGGACTAGAGAATGAAGCAGAAAATGAGTGGTTCTCAGCTCAGGGTCAGAAATGGCTTCTGTCCTTAGGGGATCTCCTCCTGCTGCTGGAGCTGCAGGTGTAGAAGCAGCTGTAGGTCAAGATTTTGTTGCTTGGCTGAGTGCAGCCAAGGTGGGGGGCTGACTGGAGGTGGGGCAGTGCTGGGCATGAGCAGCCCTGGGGCCTGCTCCCATCAGGGCTAATCCCATGAGGCCCTGGAAGCTGGAACAGGAGCACCAGTGGTTGTGTAGCTCTGCCAGCAGTCACCAGGCAGTAATAAATATGGGTTGAGTGCCAACCAGCGTGGCAGTGTCAGACCCACGGCTGTGGATTTGTGAGCTTCCCTCAGGGCACAGGAGTGTGGGCTCAGCACCTGCCACCTGGCCTGGGCTCCTTCTGTTGGTATTGCAGCATTTTACAAATGCATCTCACATCCTCCTTGAGGCTGAGCTGTCTCAGCCTTTTCCAAGTGATGTCACCATGGGAAAGAAGCAGCAAATGGTCTTGCTGGACTTTACTGTGGTACCTGCCACTGTCTCATCCCTCTGCTCCTGGTTTCATGTTCCAAAGTAACTGATCACTAACAACCACCTCCTCACCTCTCTCCCTCCTCTCCCATTTACATTCAGGTACACTGTACTCTTAAAAAAATAGGGAAAACATCATATTGATGTTTCTCTGGGTAGAACTGTGGTCAGTCGTGTCCTGGGCCAGGACTCGTCCCCGCTCACTGCTCTGTCAGTTCCCTTTTCTCTGGCTGAGCTGGATCTTTGGAGCAGGATAACTTTGTTTTCCTTCAAGCAGGGAGCAGTACTGTATGTTTTTAGCAGGCTGTACCCGGTGTGTGTGGTGCACAGTCACTGGCAAGAACCAGGAAGCTTCCTAATGGCACTGTGCAATGAATGTTTGCTTCCTGGGAGAAATGGGAGTGGGATTCAGCAGAATCCACACCAGCTGGAGCTCTGGAGCTCTGTATGCTGGTATGGACTGAAAGCACAACTTTATGCATAAAGTCTGTAATATGAACATAAAATAATAAATAATTTACCATTTTTCCCCTGAATTTAGCTCTGAAGGACACGCTGAGCTGTTCTCAGGGCCCCACTGCCTCCCCTGCAGAGCAGTTCCTCTGCAGAGCAGTTCCTCTGTGCAGAGCCAGCTCACTCACCCAAGGGTTTAATTAGCAGGTGAAGGAGGCACCGCTGACCTTGTTTATTGAGCCAGAATTAATTAACTCAGAAGGGTCATGTTTTCATTCAGTGACTTCTGTGGTACAGATTTTTGAAGTTGATCCATAGTACTTGAAAATACCTCAATTTTATTGATATTTGTCCAATTCTATCAGCTTCTGCTTGGTTACAGAACACTTGCAAAAATCAGCTCGTTCTGAAGGGATCAATGACAGCATTTGCATGGTGGAGTGGCTGCTTTCAGTGCCAGCAATGGGCTGTCAAACAGCTTGGCAGGGCAGCCCCCCACGGGCTCCTCCCGCTTAATGCTGCATTTCCTGCTCTGCTCATTAGCGCTGAGCTCGCACCCACTGCTGCAGCCTCTGAGTCTCGTCCTTGTTCCATCTCCCCTTGAGAGTTCTCTCTTCCTCCTAAACATATAGTTAAGATATTTTCAGCTGTGAGCTGCTTGTGCTGGTTTTTGGATACTGTGAAGGTGAGTAGGTGTCATTTTATGCAGTTGTGCCTGTATTTTATTTGTAGTTAATCTGTCAGGTATCAGTTTGTGATTCTAATCATCAGGCCCAGCTGGCTTTGCTTAGAGCAGCAGGATCCCACTTCCTGCATTTTCTCTTTCCTAAAAACCTCATTTCTTCATTCTTTCACTTTAGTTTGGGATGTAAACCTTGTGAAATAAAATCTGAGTTTACATTTCAAATACAAGTCTGTAAGTTGGTCATGCCTGCATGCTCCTTAAAAAAATTATTTTTTTCTGTATAAGGTTTTAAGATTTACAGCATTTGTAAAGCTTTAGTGGGTAACAGACAATGTTAAAAAAGTGTATGTTGAGGGGGGGGGAAAGAGTAGCCAAAAAAACCCAACAAAAAGGACCAAGGGATCATCTTTGTTTCTTCTTTCGGCTGTGTTTGAAAAGAAATGCCTGCTTGCATCAACCAGCCCATGGAACAGGCAGGGACTTCACCTGAAGGCATCCCTGCTGTTTCAGTACTTCCTCAAGTACTTAATTTCTTGAGTTCAACATTGGACTAAATCCCGTGGAACCAACAAAATTGTCCTCCCCATCTCCTTCCTGACCTGGAGAAGGTGTGTGCTGCCCCTTCTCAGATCAGCACTTTCCTTTGTAAGAGAAATAAAAATCCAGTGGACTCTTGACAAGGTCAGGGTATTATTTTTCCCCCCCTGCCTTTTTCTGGAGAATCCAGGAGCCTCCTGGATGTGTCCGAGAGAGGCACCTGGGATCCCAGAGGATGAGTTTTGTGACTAAGAACTTGTGTGAGGAGGTGGAACCTGTTGTTCTGCTGTTCTGAACTAACTCCATGTGTGGTCATTTTTCCTCAGAATTAATGAAGTAGCTTCCTGCTCTACTCACTGCCCATCTAAGCAGGAGCTACTCCAGAGTGAATCCAAATCCACTGTTGGAGCAGGGAACTTGTAACAGCTTCCCTTTTGCTTAGGAACATAGGAAATAGAAAAGGTCTTGTTATTTTATAAATTATAATCTGATCAGATGTCTGATCTTCATCTGAAAATGCTGTTTATTGTGCAAATGGGTCCCTCAAAGGTGAAACTTAATTTAAACCTCAGGATCAGACCATGGCAGCCCTGTCTACATGTGCTGTTCAATGTTAGCAGGAGTTTTTACTTTGCCTCACAGGAAAGCCAGTGGGTTTCACTTGCTGGAGTTTTTCCAGGCAGGAAAATGGGGCTGAACAGCCACTGCAGGAGCTGCTGTGTGTTGGGAGCTCCCAACACACTCCCTCTGCACCAGCGTCAGGGCTCCCACCACTGGAACCCCCTACGGAAGCTGAGCAGGCTCTGTGCCAGCAAAATCAGGGGAAACAACAGAATTCCAGTGGATTGGTGTGTTTACATCCAGCTGTTTTGCAGGAAGCAGCATGGGCTGGTGGGGGTGTTTCTTACCCCAGCTCTGCTCTGTGCTGCCGCTCAGCCGGGTGCTCTCAGACAAATTCCTCACCTCTTCATTTAGTAGGAAATAACTGTTTTCCAGTGAATGTCACAAAGGGACTGCTGCCCACCTTTGGGGTGCTGATTTGGGGTCAGGAGTATAATGCTGCTGCTGACAGTGAGACTTTTGATATGAAATGGGTTTTTACAAAAGCTTGGGATACTCATTTTTACTGTTGGACAAACGTTCTGACTACGCTGATGCTCTGTGGAGTTTCGCTGGCATTTTCCAAGTGTTTGTACAGTTTCTACAGCTGAATATCCTGTATGTTCTGCTTTGTTGTTTTCTATTATGCTTTATACTGTACTGCAGGCAAGTACTGCATTAAAACCATTTTTGGCTAATTTATTATACTTGTGAGTGGTTATTTCCTACACTCAGGCTAAATGTTCCCTCTCTGGAAGCCTCACACAACTTTAATTAATTGGAATTACCACTTGGAGCAGGGAAGGTTCTTTATTTGTGACAAAAAAGGATTCACTAAATGCTGGGAGTGGTGGGGGCAGCCCAGGCCTTGGCACTCTGCTCACCTGCCGAGGTGCAAAGGACACTTGAGACAACCTTCCCTGATCCTGCATTTGTTAGAACATGGGTATGTTTTAAAAGAATAATGGACTATATTGTACTTATAGATACATTTCCCCAAAGTTACAGTAAGGTAAGGCCAGTGCCAGCTGAAGTGCTGGACATCAGGTACCTGGTGCCAGGGGATTTAAAGCCAAAGACAGAAGGACTTTGGCCCTGATTGCTGTTTAATGTGACCCATACAATGAGTGCATTGAGGGCTTGGAAAGGCTGCTGAGCTCTGAGGGCCATGCTTGTCTGCTGGCTGTAAGTCCTGTTGCTCTGTGAACAGAACTAGAAATGGAGTCCCAGCTTATTGCTGCGGTTTTCCTCATTTAAAAGGGTTGGTGAGACCAATCCAGCCACAAGTTTTGACTCCTAAAACTCCCAAGTACTGTATGCGTAGAATTTCCACAGGCACTGCTGCTCCCACCCCTGATTCCCAGTTTTCCAGGGTATGTCTGCTGCACTAGGAAGCTTCTTTATTCAGGACCATTGAGCAAGACAACTGGGGATGTTTCACTATTTGAAAATAATGTACACAGAGCAAAATTCCTCTGGTTCTCAGCCACCAGCCGAAGACCAAAAATTCTGCCCAAACTTCCCAGTGGCTGCTCAGAAGGACACTGAGGTCCCAGTGCACCCCTAGTTTTGGAGGCACTGGGAGTGGCTGTACTGGCTGACCTGGAGCGATGGACAGTGACCCCAGAAATGAAGGAGGCTCTGGTGGGATTTAGTGGGTTTATTTGCTCTGCAGGCAGCCACAGACAGGAGAGAGAAGAATAAATAAGTTAAAGCAGAGTGTGGCAGTTTAACAACCCCAACATGGAGATGCTTGGCCATGTAACCAGAGTGCTTTGATCCCTGTTCAGGCCAGAACTCACCTAAGTCAAGTATTTCCCCCTTTGGCCAGAAAAGTTCCCAAACATGCCCTTGACAACCCAACAATAATAAAACATAGAAAAAACCTCTTGTAATGTCATAGAGTCACATCCAGTTGTTCTGAGATTGTCAGTCTGTTCCAAAATACTTCTGTCCAAAGTGTGTTGGTGCAACAGGATGCACTTCTGTAGTTAAAATGGTGATTTCTGGGAATTCCTGGATGATGGATTTGGCACCTTTGAAGAAAAAGCAAAGACAATAATGACTACAGTGCTTCAGCACATGCCAAATCAGGATCAGCAGCACTCTGAAGGTGAGGCAGGCTCTGTGCTCCTGTCTCCACTTTCTGTTCCTGCCTTAGCTAATGTCTGTGAAGAAAACTTCCTGACTGCAGGGGATTGCTTTTTTGGGGGTCTCTTCTTTGGATTTTCCTTTCCTTTACAGTACACGTGTACTCCCCACCTAATGACTAAAGTGGTTCCAGGCTGCCAGGAATAAGTCCCTGCAGTCCAGCTCAGTGTTTTGGTAGTGATTTCTGCCATGGCCCATTTCTAAAACACAGGAGGCCCATTTTCGTACTTCCCAAAGGCAGATGTCCCTGGTTTAGATCCCCTTTTCCCAGGTAACATCTCTACCGTGCAGACAGGACTGTTCTGTAGCTCCATTCACCTCCCACTCCTGGCAGAATGGTATCCTTTTGGTGCTGGGCCTACCCATCCCATTCCATGGGCTACTGCCATTGCTCTGGGAGCCACAGAAGCCCTTCATGGACCTGGCAGTGCTGCAAAATCCTGCTTTTAGGAATCCTTTCCCATTCGGCGTGACAGGCCCTTTCCTTTCTGCTGCCCCACTCACTGCCCACACCACGGCTCTGTTTTACAATTCAGCCATAAAACCCCCAACCCCCTCTGTTCTGGGCAGTGACGGGACTGGGCTGTGGCAGAGGCCCAGCTCTGCCCCACTGTGTCACACGTGGGACTGATGTCACCTCCCCAGGACACCCCTGTGCCCCCCAAGGCCCTGACTCACCGTGGGGTGTGGAGAACAGGCTGAGCAGGATGATGACACTGGGCTGGACCCCGTGTTCCACCAGCACCTTGACAGCCTCGATGACAGTGTTCCCAGTGCCTGCAGGGGACAGAGGGACAGACTGTGTGGGTTTTTCCCCTGGATGACGAACATGTCTGAGAATACCTGTGGTAATGTTGGTGTGTGACTGAATGGTGATTCTGTCCTTTCCCACTGGAAAGCCATCACCTCTGCATGTATTAACCAGAAAACGTTGCACTCCTAATGAAGGAACTTAGACTGGAAAAGTTACCTCATCCCAACAAACTCCTTATCAGAGTAGGGGTTTTTTGTCAGTATTAACTGGATTTAATTTTAAAGTAATTTACTTCTCAGATTATAATATTGATTCAAAAATGTTTTTTAATAATGTAAGAAAAATACTGTTTGAATCTTGTCTCATGGCAAAATTTAAAAAAAATCAATTTATACCAAGTCTTAATCTTCAGCCTTTCTTCCAAACACCGCCATGGCCAAAGGATTTGCTTTGCATTCCCACTGGTGCAGCTGACTGATGTGTGTCCTGGCACAGCCTGATAATTCCCTGCTCTGTCACCTAAACCAAGCAGAAAACCTCATCCAAGCCCCTGAAATTTGGAGGGTTTCCTTTCATTCAGGCCCTCCCCGTTCCGAGGAGTCTGACTGTCCCTAAAGGTGGCAGACACTCACTCAGGATTGGGTACATCAGCAGCACTTTCCTCCTGTAGATGTCTGGAGGGAACTTGGCGTAGTACACCTTGGCTCGCTGGGTCTCCTCGTCGCTCTGGATCAGGATCTTCCCGATGCGGATGGACCGGCAGCAGTCCCGGAGGCCTTGTTCCATGGCCTCTCCTGCAGGGAGAGCACAGGCCCCAACAGCAAAGGGTTACAGGCTGAGAAACAGCCCTGCTGCAGGGACAGGGACAGTCCCACCACTGCTGAAACAGCCCCGCTGCAGGGACAGGGACAGTCCCTCCTCTGCTCCTCTGGGAACAGTTCTAAAGGGAGATTGTTTGTCCTCAGTCCTAAAAACACTTGAAGTTCTTTTCCTTTTTTCTGTGCTGAGACAGAAAACTGAGTCTCCTCGGTGTTCCTGAGCCCTGGCTGTTGGTGTTCCTGAGGTGTCGGTGTTCCCCAGCCCCTGGCTGTTGTTGTTCCCACACAGCAGTGCTGAGCTCTCAGAGGGCAGAGCTGGCAGTGGCAGAACCAGCGTGTGGGGTTTGGGGAACATCCGTGAGCTCTGCCTGGAGCCCCCCCGGTGCAGAGTGTGGGGCAGGAGCTGTGGGGCCAATGGATTTGACAGCACAGATCCCAAGGTTTGCACAGCACTGGGAAATAACTCTGCCACCACGGGGCGTGGCTGGAGTGGGGCCCTGGCTCTGGGCAGGAGTGGGCAGTGGGAACAGGGGAGGGCAGTTGGCCCCTCACAGGGAGAAGAAGAGGCCAGAGGAAATCTGTTGCAGCCATTTGTTGCCTAAAATGTTAATGAAAGACACTTCTGGACATTTGTGATCAAGGATATCCAAGAAAGAACAACAACTGGCAGCTTTGGGTAAACCTTTGCTGTAGAGAAATATTGTTGCACATTTTTTGCAAGGAAGTTCTTACAGGTTTCCAAAGTGTTTAATTCACACTCCTGTAACAGCAGCAGTACCTACCACTCCTCATGATGCTGACCCCGCAGTTTCCCTTTTCAAATCGGACTCCTTCATACTTGTGTCCTGTGAGGAAAGAAACCAGGGCTCAGTGGCAGTTCCCTTCTGCCCCCTCTGGACACCCCTTTGGGGACACTGTGTGACATGACCTCGGTAGGAATGGAACCAAGATCCTGCAAATACCCAGGGGACAACACCAAGGCCATGGGTCTGCACGGGTGGCACAAACCACCCTGCACCCCAGACCCTGCAGCCCTCCAGCAAGCAATGGGAACAGGGCCAAAACCCAGCTGGTAAAGAACTTGTGCTCTTTTTATCATTGAAAGTCATGTCAGAACAGCAGCACAGCAGGGACCCTGTCAGGTGTGTGTTTATAGCAGGGATCCTGCCAGGTGTGTGTTTACAGCAGAGATCCCGTCAGGTGTGTGTTTGATAGCTCAGGGATCTGGTGACTATTTTAAATAAAGGACACTATGCAAAAGAAAGGTGAGCAGTGCATCCCCCAGTGCTGCAGGTGACAGTCAGAACTGAAATATGATCCTACAGTGCCACTTGATCACCAAAAGAAAAAAGGGGCAATGGTGTGCACATGAGACTTCCCACTCAAAACACCTGTAGAGCTTCCAGGTGATGTCCCTTGCAGGAGACCTGCCAGTCAAACTGAGTGACACACGGGGGATGGTCACTGATCTGTCACGGACTGATGGAGCAGAGGTGACAGCAGAGGTGCCAGCAGTGCCCCAGAGGTAAAGGAGCTGCTGTTTCACTTCCAAAGGAGCCCAGGGAAGTGACAGTGCCCCCTGGGTGCTGCCTAAGCTCTGCCGAGTTTCACGGTCCATCCTTTCTCTAACAAAGCAAAGACATACCCATGATTTACTGCAGAGGGGGGGAATGTGTCATAGGTTTGAAAACAGATGTCGGAATTTTCTTTTTCTTCCCTAGGGTCCCGTCCCCGTTTCCCCCCACGCCCTTTCTTCGGGGCTGGGGGCGGAGTGCGGGCAGCGCAGGAGAGGGGAGGAGGAGAGGGGAGGAGGAGAGGGGAGGAGGAAAGGGGAGGGCTCGCGGGGGAGGGCGGGGGCTGCAGGAGGGCTGCGAGTCTTTGCTTCGGGGGCTTTTGGTTTGGTCCGGGACCGGACAGAGCAGGAGCCCCTTTTTTGGCTGCCTCTTTCTCTTTTCCTGAGAGGGGGAGAACAACCGAGA